TTTATATATATTTTGTTCTGTACTTCTATCAATATACACCAACAGTTCGCTATTAGTTTCTTTATTAAGATTACACAATACTTAATACTGCTTTTCTTAATATTGCGTATAGAAGCTTCTCTTAATATTGCGTTTAGAATATCTCCTCCTGTATTTCGATTTTCAACGTCACATCTATGCTATATCCTGGCACGTTCACTTCACACTCTTCTAAAGGGTTTTTCAATAAGGGCGGGTCGATGTTGCAGTGGAATAAAACAAGCTGTGTGTGAGGTATTAACGAAATTCTTTTTTTATTTGAAAGTTCCATGTATGTCATTATGTGTGGAATATAACATCGTTCATATGTTCGCCGCGGCTTCTCACGGTGACACGGATCCGAGTGGTCCAATTTTCAATGATTCTGCAGCATAGATCCGGCTGAATTTGAGCGATGGCCTGGGTTATATTGACTTTAAGGACATCGGTCGATTGCGGCTTATTGGCATAGACCTACGACTTCAGAAAACCCCACAAGAAAAAGTCTAGCGGGGTCAAATCGTTCGATCTTGGTGGCCAATTCACGTCACCTCTGCGAGAGATAACCATACCCTCAAATCGTTCATGCAGAATGTCCATCGTGGCGTCCGCTGTGTGGCACGTAGCGCCGTCCTGCTGGAACCACATGTCGTCCACGTCCATATCGTTCAATTTGGGCCAAAAGAAATTGGTTATCATCGTTCTGTAGCGCTCGCCATTGACGATGATGGCCTCACCAACGTCGTTTTCGAAAAAGTACGGACCAATGACGCCGCCGGCCCAAAATCCGCACCAAACAGTGACTTTTTATGGATGCATTGCTACCTGTTGAACCTCGTGTGGGTTGGCATCGTGCCATATACGGCAATTATACTTGTTAACATAGACATACATCCAAAAATGCACCTCGTCGCTAAAGATGATTTTTCGGCCAAAATTGGGGTCCTTTTCCAAATGCTCCGAAGCCCAGTCAGCGAACAAACGGCGTTGTCTATGGTCATTAACTTTGAGCTCCTGGGCCAGTTGGATCTTGTACGGGTGCAGGCCCAAGTCCCGATGCAAAATTCGCCAAGTTGAAGTCTGCGAAAGGCCGAGTTCTTGTGCACGGCGAGAAATTGACTGCCTCGGGTTCCCTGCACACTTTCACTTACAGCGGCGATGTTCTCGGCCGATCTGGCGTTCCTTTGACGTACAGGTGTTGGCTGATCGTTTACCGAACCGGTCGTCTCGAATTTGGCCACCAAACGTTGGAGAGTCGACGTTGAAGGGCTACCGCGTCTGCCGTAAAATGGGCGCAACGCGCGCAACGTTTGCACTAACGCTCATTTTGATAATAAAGTTTTAACATTTGGACGTGCTGCTCAATCGTGTAACTTGTCATGGTGATTTGGCATCAGTGACTGAATAATAAACAACAGGTTAGACAGACGCCGCCAAAACAACATGGCCGCCACAGGCTGCCAACATCGATCCGCACCAATTGAAAAACCCTGTATGTCTTGTGTTATTCTGATTTCTGATAGTGCTACGAAAGCAGGATTCATTCTCTTCATAATCTGATGTATCTCATCCTTGTGTGCCAATAGACTTTGGACGTTCATGTATACGATTGATTCCATCTCCGTCTTTAGTTACTATTTTACGTTTCTCTCTCGCTCTATAGTCTCTCGTTTCTCGTGCCAGTCCTCTTCTTTTCCTCTTCTAATGCTCTCAGATATGTTGGACAATCCCTGCTTAGAGCATCATGCTCATCGTTTATCTTCAAGTTGTATGTCTTTACTTTATGCATGTAGTTCACACATCTCTTCTTCTTCGTCTTGCATTCACCAGCTTTATGCTGTCCTGCACACTTATGACAGGTTTCCTGTCGCGTACAATTTTTGGCTATATGATAATAGCCCCGACATTTGAAGCATCTTTTGACACTGTAGTAACGGAATCCACGACATTTCCTTCAATCTACGGTAGGGTAGTCCTAGAAGTACCCGACCTAACAAAGAAAACACAAAAAATTTGGGAAAAATATCCTTATTTCTCTAAATAGTCTCCTTTTAACTCAATACACTTTTCTCAGCGATGTTTAATAGCTTCGACACCCTATTTATAGTGGGAATCGTCGAGCTCCTCAAAATAGCCATCAACCGCAGACTCCACCTCTTCATTGTTGGCAAATCTTTTATTACCGAGCCATTTTTTCAAGTTTGGAAACAGAAAATAATCGAAGGGGACTAAATCTGGCAAATAGGGTACGTGAGGAAGCAATTCGAACTTTAACTCATTGATTTTGGCCATCGCGATAACGGATGTGTGAACTGGTGCATTGTCTTGATGAAATAAAACTTTCTTTTTCACCAAATGCGGCCACTTTTTCTTGATTTCATCACTCAAAAGCTGCAATAAATTCGCATAATACTCGCAATGGTTTGTTTCTTCTTTCTGAAGATAATCAATGAAAATTATCCCACGCGCATCCCAAAAAACTGACGCCATAACCTTGCCTTCTTTGGAGCCGATTCTCCCCTTTCAGTCTATTATTTTGACTGTTCCTTCGTATCAGGTGTGAAATAATGGATCCATGTTTCATCCATGATTATGAACCGACGCAAAAACTTGGCTTTATTGCTGCGAAACTTCGCCAAACACTCAATTGAAACATCCTCACGACGCTTTTGTTCCAATCGCGGCACCCATCTTGCGCACAGCTTTCTCATGTCCAAATTTTCAGTCAATATGCGATGTAGAGCACTTTTTGAAATGCCTACCATGTCTACTAACTCGCGCACTTTCAGTCGACGGTCATCCAATACCATTTTGTGGATTTTCTTCACCATTTCTGGCGTGGTCACCTCATTTGGTCGACCACTGCGATGTTCGTATTGGCAGCTCGTACGGCCTGGTTTAAACTCTGCCACCCAATATTTTACTGTTGTAAACGAAGGAGCAGACTCCCCCAGAGTAGAATCTAGCTCCGCTTTGATATTGATTAGACTGAGGCCTTTCAAATGAAAGTATTGTATCACATAACGATGACCAATTTTTTCCATGTTTACAAATTCACTGAGAGCGTTCACTATTGATAGCTGGCAAACAAATATTAAACAACGTAGCGTCGTCAAACTTCAAACTTAAGCTTTATATGGTTGGTACTTTCTACCATAGTCATTTTTTTCAAACAACAACCGCCGTCTATACGTCAGGTCGGGTACCTCTGGGACTATCCTCGTATGTTTATTTTTTCTCTTCTCATTATTAAGTCATGAGTTATCTCATGAATTTCAATTAATAAGGAATCATTTTCCTCTGCTCCACTTGGATTTTGTTTGGTTATCTTTTTTATTAGCCACATGTGTGTGTGTGAGAGAGAGAGAGAGAGGGAGAGTGCGTGTGTGAGAGAGACACCGTGTGGGAGAGTGTGAGAGAGAAAGAGTATGAGAGAGAGAGAGAGAGGGGGGTGAGAGAGGGAGGGAGGGAGAGGGAGGGAGTGAGAGGGAGAGGGAGGGAGGGGGAGGGAGGGAGAGGGAGGGGGAGGGAGGAGAGAGAGAGAGAGAGAGAGAGAGAGAGAGAGAGAGAGTGGGAGAAAGAGAGTGTGAGAGAGTGAGAGAGAGGGAGGGGGTGAGAATGAGAGAGAGAGAGAGGAGAGAGAGAGAGAGAGAGAGAGAGAGAGAGAGAGAGAGAGTGTGTGAAAGAGAGGAGAGAGTATGAGGGAGAATAATAAGCTAAATGGCGCGCACGTAACGTGCGCTTATAGTGTTCTAATGTTACTAAATAGTACTTCTATGATGTCATGTGTACGTGTGTATTTATAAGTAAATAAAATTTTTTATAAAATTAATAAATATATTATAAACAAAATTATAAATGTTCAGACTTCCCAACAAAATCAGTTTTATACATTTCGTTTAATATTATATTATTAATTAATTTATTTATATAATTTATTAATTCCTTTTTTTGGTGGAATTACTTGATTAATAGTACTTAGGACATTCGTTTTGATTTTAACGCAAACTTCCAATTGTCACAATTCTTATTGACAAGATGAAATTGAGGGGCGTTCTCCATCAATTCTGATGCACTTAAATATGTTATAGAGCATCAAAGAATATTAGACATGTATTTTTTATCTCTTTTTCTTTCCTCTCTCTCTCTCTCTCTCTCCCCCTCTCCCTCTCCCCCTCCCTCCCACCCTCTCTTCATGTCCCCCTCTCCCTCTCCCTCTTCCTCTTCCTCTTCTTCTCCTCTCTGTTAATATTAACTACATCAATTTTTATTAGATTAGTTGCAATCAAAAGCTTATATTGACATTCATATTAGAAATATTTAATTTTCAATAAATAGAGATATTCAATATTCAATTTTCTACGGCTTTAGTGAGATACAATATTTTATACAAAAATATGATAGGTAATGTGTAAACTTATGTTATATATTATATAGTGTAAACTAACTGGTGTCATGACTTTTTATGTCATAGATATAGTTCTGCTCAGATCTGTAAATTCTATATTTATATATTAATTCTAAATTTATGTGGTATTCCAAAATTTACTTGGTATCATCACGCTAGCATGTTATTTGATTAAAAATATTGTTTTATTTATTTCATTATTACGCAAAAGCCATACATAAAGTCTAATTAGCCTTTTCATATTTGTCCGATTATTAATAAGAAGTTATTCTTAACTTATGCAATTATTATTTCAAAAGATTGGATTTCCATGTATCTTCATGTTAGAAGTTTCTAAATTCGTAATAAACAATCAGTGTTTTAACACTCTAAGGATTAATCGCAAACAAGTTTCAAATTTATAATTCAAATTTTATTGTTAAACACAAAGAAAATAAATTGCACCAGCATCTGCAATTTGACTCTCGATTCGTCAGCTGCATTTTAGACTGTAGAGAAAATATATTTTTGCCTAAAGAGAGTTAAATATTTCCTGAGGATGAATTTTCAACTATATTGATCGTGTTTCTGGCAGGACGAAGTGATCACACGGTCATTGGCGATGTTCGACTGCGCACTTTGATCTCCGGCTAAAGACGAGCCTCCAGTAGTCACCACGACGCCGCCGACGCCGCTTTCGACGACGACATTCTCGCAATCCCTCTCTCCATCGCCGCCGCTACCGTCCTATTCTCTACTACCACCTATCCCTCCACCCCTGCCCTCACAACCACCACCCGGGTATACCGTCCAGGATCAGGAACTTTATCTGCTCCTAGCCGCTCACTGGTGGAATCAACCCGAAGCGCCGCTCTTCTGCTAAGGGTAAGTAATCGCGTTAAATTTTTCCGATAACTCAAGGACCGAGATAGCTATCACCATAAAGTACTTTTATCTCCCATCTCTGTCCCTATCTCTCTTCCTTCCTCCCTTCTCTCTCTCTCTCTCTCTCTTCCCCCTCTCTCTTTTTATCTTCCTCCCTCCCTCCCTGCCCCTTCTTTCTCCTTTTCTTCTTTTCCCTCTCTCTCTCTTCCATCTTTCTTGCTTTTCCTACACTTTTTTTCTTCTTTCTCATGCATTCATGTCCTGTGATGAGCATTTCATTGTTATTGCATTTTCCGTACAATTCTGTTTATATAATTCCCATCATTTTCAAGAATATTACAACAGCTTGGGAGTAGAGAGAGCTCACGGGAATATAGAACATCATTTTGGCCACAGATTGCCTGAGAAATTTATATACGACGTAGGATATCTCCTAGGAGAAATCCTAAGAGAAAATTGGTCGAGAAGATGTAGTGTCAGAACTTCCTAATTGTCATTAATATCTTGTGTTAAGTTCTGATTATAAATTTATTTCAGAATTAGTTAAATTTATGTCAAATTAAGAAAATGAACAAAATTATCCTCTCAAATCTTAGCACGTTTGTTAGTATTAACGTCACATTAGTACATATATGCGACAGTGATGATTTTTTCTTTTTATGTCCTCATAAACAAACTAAATGTTTTATTTAATTATATAAAAATATATAGAGTGGGCTGTGGAAAAAGTTCCTCAAATGAACGATAATGAACGTATTAAAATTCTTAGCCACTCATCGCGGTTCTTGTGATTAATGACATCAAAAATGAAAAAATATATACACTTAAAATTCTTGTAAAACGTGAAATAAAAGATATATCCGTAAATTGACACTTATAATTGATTAACTCTTTGAAGCATCCTGGGATCACATAATCCCATCTTTTCTTTCTTCATTTTTAATTATTTAAGCTATCTTTTTGATATTTTCGTCCGAATTTTTTTCACTTCTAAGATATGTTAGGTATTGCTATACGTGCTAAAAATATACTGTCAATTTTTATTAAATTTAAGCATCCTGTAAATAAACAAATTACGTAAAATTATATTTTTCAGTAAAAATTCTTTTAACGGTGACCTATAAAAACAGTCATAATGAAATTTGTCCATTTATGTTTTTGAGGTCACCGATTGCGAATCCGGGATCAGAATTTCGAAATTCAAAATGGCGGATCCAATATGGTGGACAAAAATGTTCAGAATCTTTCGATTTCGACAGAAATAGATACATGGAGGTTTTTTGGATCGCTGATTATGAATTTATCAGATTTCCGAAATTCAAAATGGCGGATTCAATATAATGGACAAAAGTGTTCAAAATCCTTCGATTCTGACAGAAATAGGTACATGGAGATTTTTTGAGTCGCTGATCACGAATTTGTTATCAGATTTCCGAAATTAAAATTTATAATATCATATTAAAATTGGCCATCTGAAGTCGTCATATTGGATCCGCCATTTTGAATTTTTTAATTTCGACTCTGTATTTGTCATCTATGATCAAAAAAACATATATATGTAGAAGTATATACCGAGTTTGATACATATCCATAATATCATATCAAAGTTAGCCATTTGAAGTCGCCATATTGAATCCGCCATTTCGAATTTTAAAATTTTGACTCCAGATTCATAATCAGCGATCCAGAAAACCTCTATAATCAGTTTCTTTTATCATTGCATAGAAAAATTCATGCTTCAAAATGTTAAGCAGATTTATAAAATAATTCGATTAGACCTTTTGCTTTAATAATTAATAAATTACCATAAAATCATACTTAAATACTTTGTCGATAAAATATTTTTTTATACGAAGTTTCCATCGCGAAATTGCAAATCCAGATAGCACAATGACTTAGAGGAGACCGGAGCTGATTGATACAGTTTTTTTAATGAATTTTTTAAACGTAAGTAACAAATGCAAGATAAGCGGCATGAAAATTTGTTAATAGCTACATGCTTATACAACATAAAAATTTTATTTTCGATTGAATATTTCTATTACCTTTGTTGCATCAATGAAAAATATAAGGCGATATCATTTGAAACAACCAACTCATATATGAGTTGTTACAGTTATCGGGGTCAGTTGTTACAGATCTCTGCATTTCAAAGAATAATACATTTAATGACTAATCATTAAATAAATGAAAAATGTGCATAACATAACTATTAATATTTTGCAGGTAAAATATATATATTCATATAACATTAACAATATAAACATAAACATATTTATCAATGCTTTATAAAAATTTATAAAAATAAAAGCATATTTGTCATTTTTCAGTCTCATCTTTCTCTTTCATAAATCACAACAACATCAAAATAAAAATATTAGTTATAAAATGTTGTACTAGTAAAGACTATAAATACTTGACATAATTTTCAATTTTCCGTTTGAAAACGAAAATGTAAAATAAAACATTTAAATTTGTATGATTTAAAGTGTAATCAAGTAGTAAAAGTTATACGTGCTGAATTTCGTTAAATAAGATAAACTTATATCTTGCTAAAAATTTAACTTTGTTTTTATTGGGGACTTAAATAAGTTCTCGCTGTTTCCCGAGATGGTGTTATCTTAGCCTTTTTGCATCGAGCAATACTACAGCCAACTTCATCGTGAAGCTCCACCATTAGGCTCGAAGTGACAGTATATGTTATTCCGACGAAGCGTAAACAACATATTTTTTCATAGCGTTAAACATATCGAATTTCATGCCAAAAAAAGAGTATTTGCGGGGAATTTTACTGCATTACTTTTTTCAAAAAAATCTGCAGCTGAAACACATAGAATTCTTGTGGAGACTTACGGCAACCATGCTCTGTCGGAAACAACATGCAGAGATTGGTTTAGACGCTTTAAAAATAATGATTTTGATGTTGAAGATAAAGAACGCTCTGGCGCACCGAAAAAGTTTGAAGGCGAAGAATTGGAAGCATTACTCGATGAAGACCCATGTCGCAAAATGAACTCGCAGAATCATTAGGAGTTGATCACACAATAGTTGCCAAAACGTTTAAAAGCATTAGGAATGATTCAAAAGCAAGAAAATTGGGTGCCGTATGAATTGAAGCCGAGAGACGTCGAACGGCGTTTTTCACATGTGAACAGCTGCTCCAACGGCAGAAAAGGAAAAGTTTTTTGCATCGTATCGTGACTGGCGATGAAAAGTGTATACACTACGATAACCCAAAGCGTAGAAAATCGTGGGGTAAGCCCGGCCATGTATCAACATCGACGAAGCTGAATATCCAATTTCAAGCTCATGCTCTGTATTTGGTGGGACCAGCTGGGTGTAGTATATTATAAGCTCCTCAAACCCAACGAAACCATCACGGGAGATCGCTATCGATTACGATTGATGCGTTTGAGCTGGGCATTGAAGGAAAAACTGCTACAATACGAGGAGAGACACGACAAAGTAATTTTGCAGCATGACAACGCTCGGCCACATGTTGCAAAACCAGTCAAAACCTATTTGGAAACGCTCAAATAGGAAGTCCTACCTCACCCGTCGTATTCACCGGACATTGCTCCTTCCGATTACCACTTGTTCCGACCGATGACTCTTGGCCTGGCTGAGCAGCACTTCCATTCTTATGAAGATGCCAAAAAATGGGTCGATTCTTAGATAACCTCAATATATAAGTCGTTCTTTCGACATGGTATTCATATGACTACTATCCCATGGCTCGTGGTTGCAGAGATATACAATTTTCAAATCGGGTCATTCTTTTTGAAACACCGTGTATATTTCAGAAACTGCATGTGGCGTTTGCGCATACCAGGTATGTAAATATGAAACCGGAATATTTGTATAGAAAATACACGTTTATTGTATGAAAATGATAAAAAATGTTTTATTCGAAGTATTGTCCATCGCTAGCTATACATTTTTCTCAACTGTCTGAATTTGTGAATGCCACGGCCAAAAAAACTTGCTCTTTTGAGGCAAACCAGTCATCGAGCCATTTTCGTACATTTTCGTAAGAAGTGAAGCGCTGCTCAGCAAGTGCGTGTCCCATCGATGCAAATAAGTATTAATCGGACGGAACCAAGTCTGGTGAGTAAGTCGCATGCGAAAATATTTCCCAACTAAACGCCTCAATCGTTTCCTTGACCAGTTTTGCTGTGTGTGATGGTGCATTATCATGAAGCAAAATCACTTTGTGTTGCTTTTTTTGATATTCTGGTCGTTTTTCACGCAAAGCTTGATTCAAATCGATCATTTGTTGTCGGTAGCGTTCAGTATTAACGGTTTCGCCAAGTTTTAGTAGTTCATAATAGATCACACCCTTCTAATCCCACCAAACACAAAGCATTCTCTTCCGTCCATAGTGATTTGGCCTTGCAGTCGATGTCGATGATTCGCCTGGAGTTACCCATGATTTTTTACGCTTAGGATTCTCAAAATATATCCACTTTTCATCGCCAGTCACAATTCGATGAAGAAATGATTTTCCTTTGTATCTGGCGAGCAGCATTTCGCAAGTGGTTTTTCGGTTTTCCTGCTGTCTTTCATTCAGTTCATGTGGAACCCATTTTTTCATCTTCTGGATCTTTCCCATGGCTTTCAAACGTATGAAGACGGCTTCTCGTGTCACATTTAATTGATCCGCGAGTTGTTGTTGCGTTTGAGCGTCATCCTCGTCCAACAATGCTTGCAATTCGCTGTCTTCAAACTTTTTCGGTGGTCTTCCACGTTCTTCGTTTCTCGCGTCAAAATCACTACGTTTGAATTTTTTAAACCACTCAAAGCACTGTGATTTACTAAGAGCATGCCACCGTAAGCTTCGACAAGCATTCGATGCGATTCTGCAGCAGTTTTCTTCAAATGGTAACAGAAAATCAATGCTGTCCGCAAATCGTAGCTTCCAGGCACAAAATTCGACATGTTCAACGCTATTACAAACTATGCTGTTGTATAAAACTTGTATTGTTGTGAGTTGAAAATCT